GTTACACACGCGTGACACACCGATCAGCGGGTTACAAACGAGTGACACACCGATCAGCGGGTTACACACGAGTGACACACCGATCAGCGGGTTACACACGCGTGACACACCGATCAGCGGGTTACAAACGAGTGACACACCGATCAGCGGGTTACACACGAGTGACACACCGATCAGCGGGTTACACACGCGTGACACACCGATCAGCGGGTTACAAACGAGTGACACACCGATCAGCGGGTTACAAACGAGTGACACACCGATCAGCGGGTTACACACGAGTGACACACCGATCAGCGGGTTACACACGAGTGACACACCGATCAGCGGGTTACACACGCCTGACACACCGATCAGCGGGTTACACACGAGTGACACACCGATCAGCGGGTTACACACGCGTGACACACCGATCAGCGGGTTACACATGCCTGACACACAGATCAGCGGGTTACACACGCATGACACACCGATCAGCGGGTTACACATGCGTGACACTCCGATCAGCGGGTTACACACGAGTGACACACCGATCAGCGGGTTACACACGAGTGACACACCGATCAGCGGGTTACACACGAGTGACACACCGATCAGCGGATTACACACGCATGACACACCGATCAGCGGGTTACACACGCGTCACACTGATCAGCGGGTTACACACGCGTCACACTGATCAGCGGGTTACACACGCGTCACACCGATCAGCGGGTTACACACGAGTGACACACCGATCAGCGGGTTACACACGCCTGACACCGATCAGCGGGTTACACACGCGTGACACACCGATCAGCGGGTTACACACGCGTGACACACCGATCAGCGGGTTACACACGCGTGACACACCGATCAGTGGGTTACACACGCGTGACACACCGATCAGCGGGTTACACACGAGTGACACACCGATCAGCGGGTTACACACGCCTGACACCGATCAGCGGGTTACACACGAGTGACACACCGATCAGCGGGTTACACAGGCGTGACACACCGATCAGCGGGTTACACACGCGTCACACTGATCAGCGGGTTACACACGCGTCACACTGATCAGCGGGTTACACACGCGTGACACACCGATCAGCGGGTTACACACGAGTGACACTGATCAGCGGGTTACACACGCGTCACACACTGATCAGCGGGTTACACACGCCTGACACCGATCAGCGGGTTACACACGCGTGACACACCGATCAGCGGGTTACACACGCCTGACACCGATCAGCGGGTTACACACGCGTGACACACCGATCAGCGGGTTACACACGCGTGACACACCGATCAGCGGGTTACACACGCGTGACACACCGATCAGCGGGTTACACACGCGTGACACCGATCAGCGGGTTACACACGCATGACACACCGATCAGCGGGTTACACACGCGTCACACACTGATCAGCGGGTTACACACGCGTGACACACCGACCAGCGGGTTACACACGCGTCACACACTGATCAGCGGGTTACACACGCGTCACACACCGATCAGCGGGTTACACACGCGTCACACACCGATCAGCGGGTTACACACGCCTGACACACCGATCAGCGGGTTACACACGCGTCACACACTGATCAGCGGGTTACACACGCGTCACACACCGATCAGCGGGTTACACACGCCTGACACCGATCAGCGGGTTACACACGCGTGACACACCGATCAGCGGGTTACACACGCGTCACACACTGATCAGCGGGTTACACACGCGTCACACACCGATCAGCGGGTTACACACGCCTGACACACCGATCAGCGGGTTACACACGCGTCACACACCGATTAGCGGGTTACACACGCGTGACACACCGATCAGCGGGTTACACACGCCTGACACCGATCAGCGGGTTACACACGCATGACACACCGATCAGCGGGTTACACACGCGTCACACACTGATCAGCGGGTTACACACGCCTGACACCGATCAGCGGGTTACACACGCGTGACACACCGATCAGCGGGTTACACACGCGTGACACACCGATCAGCGGGTTACACACGCGTCACACACCGATTAGCGGGTTACACACGCGTGACACACCGATCAGCGGGTTACACACGCCTGACACCGATCAGCGGGTTACACACGCATGACACACCGATCAGCGGGTTACACACGCGTCACACACTGATCAGCGGGTTACACACGCCTGACACCGATCAGCGGGTTACACACGCGTGACACACCGATCAGCGGGTTACACACGCCTGACACCGATCAGCGGGTTACACACGCGTGACACACCGATCAGCGGGTTACACACGCCTGACACCGATCAGCGGGTTACACACGCGTGACACACCGATCAGCTGGTTACACACGCCTGACACCGATCAGCGGGTTACACACGCGTGACACACCGATCAGCGGGTTACACACGCGTCACACACTGATCAGCGGGTTACACACGCGTCACACACCGATCAGCGGGTTACACACGCCTGACACCGATCAGCGGGTTACACACGCGTCACACACTGATCAGCGGGTTACACACGCGTCACACACCGATCAGCGGGTTACACACGCCTGACACCGATCAGCGGGTTACACACGCGTGACACACCGATCAGCGGGTTACACACGCGTCACACACTGATCAGCGGGTTACACACGCCTGACACCGATCAGCGGGTTACACACGCGTGACACACCGATCAGCGGGTTACACACGCCTGACACCGATCAGCGGGTTACACACGCGTGACACACCGATCAGCGGGTTACACACGCCTGACACCGATCAGCGGGTTACACACGCGTGACACACCGATCAGCGGGTTACACACGCCTGACACCGATCAGCGGGTTACACACGCGTGACACACCGATCAGCGGGTTACACACGCGTGACACACCGATCAGCGGGTTACACACGCCTGACACCGATCAGCGGGTTACACACGCGTGACACACCGATCAGCGGGTTACACACGCCTGACACCGATCAGCGGGTTACACACGCGTGACACACCGATCAGCGGGTTACACACGCCTGACACCGATCAGCGGGTTACACACGCGTGACACACCGATCAGCGGGTTACACACGCCTGACACCGATCAGCGGGTTACACACGCGTGACACACCGATCAGCGGGTTACACACGCCTGACACCGATCAGCGGGTTACACACGCGTGACACACCGATCAGCGGGTTACACACGCCTGACACCGATCAGCGGGTTACACACGCGTGACACACCGATCAGCGGGTTACACACGCCTGACACCGATCAGCGGGTTACACACGCGTGACACACCGATCAGCGGGTTACACACGCGTGACACACCGATCAGCGGGTTACACACGCCTGACACCGATCAGCGGGTTACACACGCGTGACACACCGATCAGCGGGTTACACACGCGTGACACACCGATCAGCGGGTTACACACGCCTGACACCGATCAGCGGGTTACACACGCCTGACACCGATCAGCGGGTTACACACGCGTGACACACCGATCAGCGGGTTACACACGCCTGACACCGATCAGCGGGTTACACACGCGTGACACACCGATCAGCGGGTTACACACGCGTCACACACTGATCAGCGGGTTACACACGCCTGACACCGATCAGCGGGTTACACACGCCTGACACCGATCAGCGGGTTACACACGCGTGACACACCGATCAGCGGGTTACACACGCCTGACACCGATCAGCGGGTTACACACGCCTGACACCGATCAGCGGGTTACACACGAGTGACACTGATCATCGGGTCACACACGCATCACACTGATCAGCGGGTTACACACGCGTGACACCGATCAGCGGGTTACACACGCCTGACACCGATCAGCGGGTTACACACGCGTGACACACCGATCAGCGGGTTACACACGCCTGACACCGATCAGCGGGTTACACACGCCTGACACCGATCAGCGGGTTACACACGCGTGACACACCGATCAGCGGGTTACACACGCCTGACACCGATCAGCGGGTTACACACGCCTGACACACCGATCAGCGGGTTACACACGCCTGACACCGATCAGCGGGTTACACACGAGTGACACTGATCATCGGGTCACACACGCATCACACCGATCAGCGGGTTACACACGCCTGACACCGATCAGCGGGTTACACACGCCTGACACACCGATCAGCGGGTTACACACGCCTGACACCGATCAGCGGGTTACACACGAGTGACACTGATCATCGGGTCACACACGCATCACACTGATCAGCGGGTTACACACGAGTGACACACTGATCAGCGGGTTACACACGCGTGACACCGATCAGCGGGTTACACACGCCTGACACCGATCAGCGGGTTACACACGCGTGACACACCGATCAGCGGGTTACACACGCGTGACACACCGATCAGCGGGTTACACACGCGTCACACTGATCAGCGGGTTACACACGAGTGACACACTGATCAGCGGGTTACACACGCGTGACACACCGATCAGCGGGTTACACACGCGTGACACACCGATCAGCGGGTTACACACGAGTGACACACTGAACAGCAGGTTACACCCACGTCAACAGGTTACACACACGTGACACACTGATCAGCAGGTTACACACACATCAGGTGGTTACACAGAGAGCGGACACTAGGGCTGTCAAATAAAAATTTGAATTTCGGATATTCGTTGAATAAAAAAAAAAACTTGCATTTCAATTTTTGGTGTCAAGAGGCGCGAGACATGATGATGGGTTAACCCTAACCCATGCATTTTAAAAAGTGAATGTCATTTCATTTCAATAAATGCGATGCTTGATTTGGTTTATATTTGCTCATTGCACTCGCTTGCGCCCTCTTGTGGGCATAGGAGACAATGCAGTACTTTTTTCCTCTTAACATTAAGAATTGCCTTTAGAATTCGAATATAATTTCGAATTTTGCTAATATTAAATAAAGAAATTTGCATTAAGCTTTTCAGCCGTTTTGACAGCCCAAGTGGACAGTGGCTCGATGACGCTCACTTACGAGTCAAGGTTCTCTAGAAGCGACTGACAGACGACATCCAGATACCCAGTCTCCACGGCATTGTGGGACACGTCGAGGACGAACAGATAGACAGCGGGCTGAGGCGGCCTGAGCTGAGGACACAACACACACACACATCATATACATGTACAGGGAGACATCTGCATATATACACTACCAGTCAAAAGTTTTGGATCGATACGATTTTATTATGTTTTTTAAGAAAGTATCTTCTTTCTCTTCTCTTCAGCATTTATCTGAAATAGAATCTTTTGTAACATTAAACACTACCGTTCAAAAGTTTGGGGTCAGTACGATTTGTTTTTTTGGGGGGGGGGTAAATAAAAGAAATCAATACTTTCATCCATTAACAATGAATTAAAATGATCAAAAGTTACAGTAAAGACATTTATTATGTTACAAAAGATTCTATTTCAAATAAATACTGTTCTTTTAAACTTTCTATTCATCAAAAAATCCTGAAATAAAAATGTAAATAACTGTTTTTCAACATTTTTTTTTTGAGCATTAAATCATCATATTAGAAGGATCATGTGACACTGAAGACTGGAGTAATGATGCTGAAAATTCAGCTTTGATCACAGAAAAAAATTACACTTTACTATATATTCACATAGAAAACAGCTGATTTACATTATAATAATATTTCATTGTTTTTTTTTTTCAAATAAATGCAGCCTTGGTGAGCAGAAGGGACTTCTTTTTAAAACATTAAAAATCGTATCGATGCAGAACTTTTGACTGTTAGTGTCGATCTGTATACTATAATTTAATGCTACAGCTGTTGACTGCCAGGGTTTTGCCGTATAGGACGTTTCTGATTCAGACGTGACATCACAGCATCAGGTAATTCAGCTGTACCATGTATTCTGACGGGGCGATGAACTCGATGGTGGCGTTCTGGACCTCGGGTCTCTTGTGAGGCGCTCCATACGACCTGCTGACCGGATTATACATGAACTCCTCTGGAACTGATGAAACACACATTCAGATACGTTCTCATCAGTGTACAGCGACTCGTGACGGAAGATGAGTGTGTACGCCGCTCACCATCGTTGACTCGGTGACACAGATTACACTTCCATCTTCTGCCGTCCACGAAGGTCACGAACGGGTTGATGTAGGTCCGACAGGAGCGACAGCGCACAATGTTACTGGAGGTCACCACGGGGAGTTGCTGCAGACAGAACACACGTGTAATGAAAAGCCCTACACAAATAAAACGGTTGGGATATTTTTATGGGACTTTCTGAAGCCCAAAAGACTCAGTTCCTGTTCATCATTACTGAATGTAAACTGAGTGTTTTGAATTTCTCCTCCTGTGTTCAGGACGACATGAGGGGACATAAAAGATCAGATAAATGAATAAATGAGGGTCAGAGGTCAGGTGTGAAGGGTCGGAGGTCAGGTCTGGACAGGGTCAGAAGTCAGGGGTGGAGGGTCAGATGTCAGGTCTGGACAGGGTCGGAGGCCAGGTGTGGAGGGTCGGAGGTCAGGTCTGGACAGGGTCGGAGGCCAGGTGTGGAGGGTCGGAGGTCAGGTCTGGACAGGGTCGGAGGTCAGGTCTGGACAGGGTCGGAGGTCAGATGTGGAGGGTAAGAGGTCAGGTGTGGAGGGTAAGAGGTCAGGTGTGGAGGGTAAAAGGGTCAGGTATGGAGGGTAAGAGGTCAGGTGTGGAGGGTCGGAGGTTCAGGTGTGGAGGGTAAGAGGTCAGGTGTGGAGGGTAAGAGGTTCAGGTGTGGAGGGTAAGAGGTCAGGTGTGGAGGGTAAGAGGTCAGGTGTGGAGGGTAAGAGGTCAGGTCACTCACGGAGAGATCCTTGAAGGGGTGCAGCAGGAGGCCGAGGGGAAGCTTGGCTTTGTTCAGCAGAGCCTGTGTCTGAGGGATGCTGGTCAGAGTACAGCGGAAGACCCTGAGGACGAGACATGCAGTGAGCGGAGGGCAGAACACACACATGCTCATTTTGAATTTATTGAAAGGATAGCCCCTTGAGATGTAACATCTCATTTTCAAGGGGGTCCTAAAAATGCGCACACACACACACACACACACTGACTCTGGGCAGCAGTTGATCTTCTGCAGGTCCCGCGGGAGGCAGGGAGTGGGCGGAGTCACGGCTCCGGAGGGAAGGAGGTTGCGCTCCTGAAGGAGGTTCACCACACGAAGGGCTTCTGGCGTCTGGGACTGCAGACTCATCGCTGCCAGAGACGGACTGAGCTGAGCTGCGCCGCCCGACGGCTGGACCTGATGGAGAACAGGAGAGGACACAGCCTTAAAGGTGACATAGTATGCCCCTTTTCATTAGATGTAATATAAATCTCTGGTGTCCCCAGAATGTGTGTGTAATTTCAGCTCAAAATCCCCCCAGATAAATTATTATAGTTTGTCAAATTTTTATAGCGTGAGCAAAAACGCGACGTATTGTGTGTGTCCCTTTAAATGCAAATGAGCTACTCCTCCGCCTATGTAACATAATTAGGTACTTTAGTTATTATTAACAGTGTAATGATCAGTGTGTTTGTGTGTGTGTGTGTGTGAGAGAGAGACTGGTACCGGTGTGTAGAGAGCTGGAGCTGAGGAGGGGTAGATGAGTGTGTCTGTGTGTGTGATGTACCTGTGTGTAGAGCTGTGGAGCTGAGGGACTGGGGTAGATCAGTGTGTGTGTGTGTGGTACCGGTGTGTAGAGAGCTGGAGCTGAGGGACTGGGGTAGATCAGTGTGTGTGTGTGTGGTACCGGTGTGTAGAGAGCTGGAGCTGAGGGACTGAGGTAGATCAGTTTGTGTGTGTGTGTGTGTGTGTGGTACCTGTGTGTAGAGCTGTGGAGCTGAGGGACTGGGGTAGATCAGTGTGTGTGTGTGTGGTACCGGTGTGTAGAGAGCTGGAGCTGAGGGACTGGGGTAGATCAGTTTGTGTGTGTGTGTGTGTGTGTGTGTGTGTGGTACCTGTGTGTAGAGCTGTGGAGCTGAGGGACTGGGGTAGATCAGTGTGTGTGTGTGTGGTACCGGTGTGTAGAGAGCTGGAGCTGAGGGACTGGGGTAGATCAGTTTGTGTGTGTGTGTGTGTGTGGTACCTGTGTGTAGAGCTGTGGAGCTGAGGGACTGGGGTAGATCAGTGTGTGTGTGTGTGGTACCGGTGTGTAGAGAGCTGGAGCTGAGGGACTGGGGTAGATCAGTGTGTGTGTGTGTGGTACCGGTGTGTAGAGAGCTGGAGCTGAGGGACTGAGGTAGATCAGTTTGTGTGTGTGTGTGTGTGTGTGTGTGTGTGTGTGGTACCTGTGTGTAGAGCTGTGGAGCTGAGGGACTGTAGGCCGGCTGCAGAGACGGGTACGAGGAGGCCGGTGGTCGGGTCATCTGCGCAGGCTGAGCCTGATAGAGTCCTGCTGGAGCAACACACGTTTCTGAATGTTAGCGGAGACATTTCTGTAGTTGTTGTGGAGTTACACTGATCATCTCCTCATCATGTTGAACTCTTCCACAAGTGTCCACAGTTCCTGAGGTGTTTATAAGACAGCGCTGACATGTTCTGGTCAATAGTGTTCAGTGTCGTCTGTGCTCGACCACAGAACAGTTTCAGGCTTTGCTGGATCTTCTCCAGTGCGTTAGAACTGGTCTCTGTTGGCGCTCGCCGAACCCAATGTCGCTGGTGTGTGTAAACGTGCAGATTAAGGGCCAGGAATATTATTATAAGATCCTCTTCATACGGCAGAAGGAGCGAAATCTGATCTGCTTATTTCTAGACGTGGTTGCAGAGAAAGACTCACCAGAACAGAGTTACTGGGTTTCAGTTTTCACGTTTTCTGTGTTGGTAGAAGCAGTGGATTACAGCACTTACACACGGGGAAACTCAGAGGTTCATGATGTGTCCCCTTTAACTGCAGCGTTTGATCCGCTGCCTCACGATTTACAGTAGTCAACATCTGAAGTGGATCAAAACCGTTCAAAGTTATACATGTATTTTGAACAATACCCGATGAACGGGTGATGAACTCTTTTTGATCCACTTCAAATGTTGACAACTGTTTTTCTCTTTAGTTACTCTGGCACACACACACACACACACAGTGTGCTCTCTCACCACCGGTGTGTGGGGCGAGTGACGGTGTTGCTCTCAGGGCTGGTGGAGGACCGTGCGCCGGATGGGACGCCAGTACACTCAGGCCTGAACACAGTAACAGCTAGCTAATAATCAGGCAATCAAACATGGACACTGTAGAGCCATAGTTCATGATCCAACCGAATCGGTTTTCTGCAGTGAATGGAAATGAATGGCTAAAGCACTAATGCTAAAACCTGCTATCAGTGTGAGCAGAGGTCAAACTCTTCCAGCACTAACCCTGATCGGGTCACCCCTGACATCACACAGTCTTCAGAACCCGAGAGTTACACACTTCCAGCACTAACCCTGATCGGGTCAAGCCTGACATCACACAGTCTTCAGAACCCGTGAGTTACACTCTTCCAGCACTAACCCCGATCGGGTCACGCCTGACATCACACAGTCTTCAGAACCCGAGAGTTACACCCTTCCAGCACTAACCCCGATCGGGTCACGCCTGACATCACACAGTCTTCAGAACCCGAGAGTTACACTCTTCCAGCACTAACCCCGATCGGGTCACGCCTGACATCACACAGTCTTCAGGACCCGAGAGTTACACTCTTCCAGCACTAACCCCGATCGGGTCACGCCTGACATCACACAGTCTTCAGAACCCGAGAGTTACACCCTTCCAGCACTAACCCCGATCGGGTCACGCCTGACATCACACAGTCTTCAGAACCCGAGAGTTACACTCTTCCAGCACTAACCCCGATCGGGTCACGCCTGACATCACACAGTCTTCAGAACCCGAGAGTTACACACTTCCAGCACTAACCCTGATCGGGTCACGCCTGACATCACACAGTCTTCAGAACCCGTGAGTAACACACTTCCAGCACTAACCCTGATCGGGTCACGCCTAACATCACACAGTCTTCAGGACCCGAGAGTTACACACTTCCAGCACTAACCCTGATCGGGTCACGCCTGACATCACACAGTCTTCAGAACCCGAGAGTTACACACTTCCAGCACTAACCCTGATCGGGTCACGCCTGACAACACACAGTCTTCAGAACCCGAGAGTTACACACTTCCAGCACTAACCCTGATCGGGTCACGCCTGACATCACACAGTCTTCAGAACCCGAGAGTTACACACTTCCAGCACTAACCCTGATCGGGTCACGCCTGACATCACACAGTCTTCAGGACCCGAGAGTTACACACTTCCAGCACTAACCCTGATCGGGTCACGCCTGACATCACACAGTCTTCAGAACCCGAGAGTTACACACTTCCAGCACTAACCCTGATCGGGTCACGCCTAACATCACACAGTCTTCAGGACCCGAGAGTTACACACTTCCAGCACTAACCCTGATCGGGTCACGCCTAACATCACACAGTCTTCAGGACCCGAGAGTTACACACTTCCAGCACTAACCCTGATCGGGTCACGCCTAACATCACACAGTCTTCAGAACCCGAGAGTTACACACTTCCAGCACTAACCCTGATCGGGTCACGCCTGACATCACACAGTCTTCAGGACCCGAGAGTTACACTCTTCCAGCACTAACCCCGATCGGGTCACGCCTGACATCACACAGTCTTCAGAACCCGTGAGTTACACTCTTCCAGCACTAACCCCGATCGGGTCACGCCTGACATCACACAGTCTTCAGGACCCGAGAGTTACACACTTCCAGCACTAACCCTGATCAGGTCACGCCTGACATCACACAGTCTTCAGAACCCGAGAGTTACACACTTCCAGCACTAACCCCGATCGGGTCACGCCTGACATCACACAGTCTTCAGAACCCGAGAGTTACACACTTCCAGCACTAACCCCGATCGGGTCACGCCTGACATCACACAGTCTTCAGGACCCGAGAGTTACACACTTCCAGCACTAACCCTGATCAGGTCACGCCTGACATCACACAGTCTTCAGAACCCGAGAGTTACACACTTCCAGCACTAACCCCGATCGGGTCACGCCTGACATCACACAGTCTTCAGAACCCGAGAGTTACACACTTCCAGCACTAACCCTGATCGGGTCACGCCTGACATCACACAGTCTTCAGGACCCGAGAGTTACACTCTTCCAGCACTAACCCTGATCGGGTCACGCCTGACATCACACAGTCTTCAGGACCCGAGAGTTACACACTTCCAGCACTAACCCCGATCGGGTCACGCCTGACATCACACAGTCTTCAGAACCCGAGAGTTACACACTTCCAGCACTAACCCCGATCGGGTCACGCCTGACATCACACAGTCTTCAGAACCCGAGAGTTACACACTTCCAGCACTAACCCTGATCAGGTCACGCCTAACATCACACAGTCTTCAGGACCCGAGAGTTACACACTTCCAGCACTAACCCCGATCGGGTCACGCCTGACATCACACAGTCTTCAGAACCCGAGAGTTACACACTTCCAGCACTAACCCTGATCGGGTCACGCCTGACATCACACAGTCTTCAGGACCCGAGAGTTACACTCTTCCAGCACTAACCCTGATCGGGTCACGCCTGACATCACACAGTCTTCAGAACCCGAGAGTTACACACTTCCAGCACTAACCCTGATCGGGTCACGCCTGACATCACACAGTCTTCAGAACCCGAGAGTTACACTCTTCCAGCACTAACCCTGATCGGGTCCCGCCTGACATCACACAGTCTTCAGAACCCGAGAGTTACACACTTCCAGCACTAACCCTGATCGGGTCACGCCTAACATCACACAGTCTTCAGGACCCGAGAGTTACACACTTCCAGCACTAACCCCGATCAGGTCACGCCTAACATCACACAGTCTTCAGGACCCGAGAGTTACACACTTCCAGCACTAACCCCGATCGGGTCACGCCTGACATCACACAGTCTTCAGAACCCGAGAGTTACACACTTCCAGCACTAACCCTGATCGGGTCACGCCTGACATCACACAGTCTTCAGAACCCGAGAGTTACACTCTTCCAGCACTAACCCTGATCGGGTCACGCCTGACATCACACAGTCTTCAGGACCCGAGAGTTACACTCTTCCAGCACTAACCCTGATCGGGTCACGCCTGACATCACACAGTCTTCAGGACCCGAGAGTTACACTCTTCCAGCACTAACCCTGATCGGGTCACGCCTGACATCACACAGTCTTCAGAACCCGAGAGTTACACACTTCCAGCACTAGCCCTGATCGGGTCACGCCTGACATCACACAGTCTTCAGAACCCGAGAGTTACACACTTCCAGCACTAACCCTGATCGGGTTCCGCCTGACATCACACAGTCTTCAGAACCCGAGAGTTACACACTTCCAGCACTAACCCTGATCGGGTCCCGCCTGACATCACACAGCAGTGTTTCCCCTACCATTGTTTTGGGGGGGCGGCCCGCCCCCCCAAAACGACCCCCCGCCCCCCATAAATTGCTGACGAAATCCAGTCATAAAAAAGAAATTTACTGTATAACGCGGAATTTCATGGAATTTGTCAATCTTTTGAGGAATAAATAGAAAGCAGTTCAGTGTACACTTGAAATCAAATCGCGATGTAGACAAGTGTGTGTGGATATTAAACCACAAAGACTATTTAAATACGAATCCGGCTTGTTCTGTGTGAATGAATGGTGCAGCCGACGCGCAGTTTCATTTAACGTACCACACACACACACACTGAAGCACGTGTGACGCTTGCGCTGTTTTTTTGCCTATATGAATACACAAATGCATAAACTTCCTCTCCAGGCTCTAGATCCACTCCGAAAGTCACTTCGTGATCATTTAACCGCTTCATTTGAGAAAAACTATTATTATGGCAAACACACAAACTCAAAAGGTCTTCACGGCAACCCGTCAAAATAAAAGTTCGGTTTAACTTGACAGAAATATATTACCGTTGTACAGTAGAATTTAGATATGTCCCAATGTAATAATACTAACACTAATCCAAATAAATTATCATCAAAACTGATTTTTTTTTAGGAATAATCCATGTTTTAATTTTAACAGTAAAGCTCATTGTGCAGCACGTTATTTGACAAAAAGTTTATTTAATTTCATATGATTAAAATTGATGATAAATGATAACATTTGTGTTTTATGTCTTCATTTTATTACCAGAAAAAACACAACACAGAATTAGTGTGAATTTTTTTTTCATATTTTAAAAAAAATGTTGTATACGTTTAATGATTCATAATACACTATTTCAATTAATTAGACATGCTTTTTGATTGCTAAAAAATGTACACCACGTATCCGTAACACGCCCGCTCCGCAACACTAGCAGCCCCCCCCCCC